ATATGAATCAAGATGCTATGACCAAAAAAATTTGATTGACGGATGACCGTTGATATATGATTGGCCGAATTTAGGTGTTCAGGCTGACGTATAACTAACTGGCCTGCATTAGATAACGAAAAAAAAAGATATTTAAAGACAGGATTTTTTTTTATATTTATAAATTTTCTAAATTTTGGGACAATATACGGTAGTCAAATAAAGAGTACATTTATATACATGTATAAGCCAGAATGATTTGACATTTAAATATGCCCTGAGATCTAATGATCACTATTCCATTTGCCCGCGCAGTACTAGGGAGGAAAGCCTTTAGCTATGCAGCTCCTTGTGTGTGGAATTTGTTTACAAAGAAACTGGAAGTTGACTGATTTTGTATCTTTAAATGCTTTTAAGTTGAAAGTGAAAGAATTTGAAGCAGCCTCAATGATATATAATTGATATGTTTTTTATGTACCTGTCATTTATTTTAATGTGGGAGGCCTCTTGGCCAAGACTCCCTTGAAAAAGAGGTTTTTAACCTCAATGGGATTTTTTCCCCTGGTTAAACAAAAATAAAAAATGATTTCCCTAAAACTTTAAGAACAAAATACTTAAATAAATACATGTTTGAAAAAAGCATATTAGCTTTGGTATTATTGATATTAAACAAAGAATATTATGTGGTGAAAAAGAAAAAGAAGTTCAGGCTTCTAATAAGTAGTTTTTATTTCTGTGATGATAAAGATTATGCATTGTCAGTCTAAGCTTTGAATAAACAGTGTGTCTGTTATTATGGCAGCTCTGTTGCAGGCTAAGGCTTAGCCATGAGGGAACTCAATCCGTCCGATTCAGAGTTTCATCCCTGCTGACTCATCTGAGGCGAGGGACTCATTGCACAACTGCAGTAAAATATTTACTGCCACTTCAAGCTCTTCTGGCGGCATGCAGATGTAGGTAAGAAGCTACTTAGGCAGAAATGAACTCCTTAATCTGCCATCAAATCCTGCAGACTCTCAAGAACTTTCTAGCATTTCTGAGTCCAAATAAGCAGACAGAAACGGCGCCGAGATACAGAGGCTGAGATGTGAACCGCTTTTGTTTCTCTGATGTTGCGATCGCTTTGAGCACAAGGAAGCTACTGTACAGGCTCGCTAAATGTTTCATCAGAGACGCTAAATGACGAAGCAAATCATGCACATGCTTGAAATAATTGAACACATCAGCCCCTCATTTTAAGCCTCCAGTTAAAACTGGAAGATTTTGCTTTCTCAGATTTCATGTTGCTATGGAAATGTCCAATGAAATGCAGGATAAAGACACCACACTTATGAAAAGACAGATTTTGCTAATGTGTCCTCTGATCCTCTGATATCGCTCTGGTCTCAAAGGACGCTCTGGCAGATTACTCAAAATTCTTCCGGAATCCATAATCAGCGATTAGCCTACTCGTTTTATTTATATATTTTGCAAACCAATGCTTTTAGCATATGCCATCTGCAGCATCATTTACTTTTAGTCATACTTTCCACTGCATGAAATCTTTCACTGCATTTTTCACATCGTGAGAAATGTTCCCTTCAGCAGAATGAGTCTAAAAGTGCCTCGGGCCTAAATCATTCATGGATTAGTATCCTCTGACTCTCTTCAAAAGCTGAATTAGTATGATCTCAGAATAATCCCAAACTCAGTGACTGTTCAAAATCTCCAACTTGGCTTCAGTTCAAAGCATACTATGAAATACTATCATGCAAATATATGCAATTTGCATCCTTTCTGCATTTTTCTCAGGCAAGAATTTGCACATATTAATATGCAGTCAAATGAACTCGCAGATATGCAGAAATAGAACAGTGACACGTCGCCATAAATGGAAAGAGTGAGCAGTTATGAAACCAGACACGGTAAGTGGGAATTC